ACCTTCTCAGTGCCTCCCTACCATGATGATGATGATTATGATGATGATGATGATGATGATGATGATGACGATGATGATGCCGGTAATGCCCGTCCACTTGGACATGGTCCTTGTCAATATCTTTCTCTTCCGCGATGTTATTGGATTGCTCTGTGGAAGTCCCGATCTCCAGTTCTACGGCACCAAAGCCGTGGCCAGCCTGTGGTGTCCAACTTGCGGCAAAGCTCGCTGCCAGGTGGCAGGTGCTGCCGTCTTGACTATCTTCTTTTGGGAAAGCCAGTCTGCGTGGTAAAACGAGGAGCTGCTTGAGACTCCTGGGCTTCGACCGTGCTTTGGCGCGTCCGTTTCTGAAGCCACGAATTCTTAAAACCAATAATCAGTGGAAGAAGACCTCGACCAACATGAGTTGGAGTTGCACGGCTCTTGGAATGCACAGATGCCGGTCACGGAGGTCTGATCTTAAGACAAACAGGCCCCAATGACAGCATGAAGGGCTTGCAGAGCCTCGCAGACATAGCGCTTTTCGGCTGCAAGCCGGCAGGCCCAGCCAGTGCGCATGCCACGCAAGAAATCCAAGCTGAGCATCCCCAGGCGTAGAGGAAGGAACCAAGGTCGCAGCATGACCCGAACGAGAGCACCACTAAGCTGCCTAGGACTGATGATCCCAGAGTTCCAAAAGCGCCGCAGGAGGGCTCCATCCAGAAACCAGCTTGGCCAGCTATCCTCTGAGCGTAGGACCGGGTATTGGCTTATAGACCTGAGGTTTGCTTGTAGCTGTTCTTGCACTAAAGTGACAATCTCCTCATCTTCCAGGGAAATTGCTCCAGAGAAACTGGCAAAGGCCTGAGGCGTCAAGGCCCGCAGCTGTGTTTGCAGGAGCCGGCGGCGGAAGAGTCCGCAGCGTGCCCAACATACAAGCTCTGCTGCCTGTACGCTTTGCTTCTGGCCCTCAGGTCCAAACCAAGAATCCAGCAGGTCATCTAAGAGTCGCGGGAAGGGCTCCAGAGCCTGAAGGGGTCAGATTAGCATTCTGACCATCTGAGCTTGAAAAGGGAGTTCACTAGCATCCGGTAGTCCAGAAACCTTTGAATCCTGCATCAGCCTTCAAGACATCAAATCATGTGTGGCTTCACGAAAGCAAAGAGGTAAGTACCCAAAACTGCAGCTGTTCTTTGATGTTCTTTGATGCTTCATTCCAACATCAGCATAATATGTTTTGAGTCAGATTCGTTGCTAAGCTAGGTCTTCCCTGAAGAAGCTTGGCCTCTGCCAGTGCTGGCGAGCAAAATCGCGCTTGCCGCAATTCCTGCCAGAAAGCAGAATTGAAAAGAGACAATCGCACGCATCTCTTAAGAATGTACGGCTAGCAGGCTGCATGCGGAGACCTCGCGGAAAGCAGGAAGTTGCGTCAGCGGCATGAGCGCATCCTCGGCAAGGACTTGCCTCACGTCTGTACCCTGCAGCCAGTCCCAGCGCTGGCAGTTCTGCAGGAGCTCAAGACAATCAAGTTCCGCCAGCAGGAGGAGAATGCGGCTCACAGACTCAGCGCAGTCTTTGGCAGCGCACAGAAACCGCCCACTGGCAATGTAGGAAACTGCACCAGCGCTGCCAAGTACAGTTTTAGAAAACTTGCAGCCAGCCTCCAACATCAGCTGCAATGGTCTTGCCATGGATGCGGCGTGTGCCAAGCACCAAGACCCCAGCACCGCAGGCAACACCCCATGCAAGTGAAGCTCGTGAGCTATCCTTGGTCAATCTACACCGTCAGCAAGAGTTGGATCCGCAATTACATTGTGAGCTTTGATTTCTTCGCAGATTTCCCACACGTGACCAACCTTGCCGAGGATCCTCATAAGGTCTTGCTCATCCAGGGCAGCCAGGCGAGGGACCCAGTCTCCTTCACGTAGCCGTTGCAGCAGTTCTTGCTCCAGTCTGGAGAGGAGGTACTTCTTGCACAGTGAGACCAGGAGAATGTCTCGATATATCTCCTTGTCCTCTTTCTGCTCCTGTCGCTTGTTTGCAGCACAGGCTGGTAAGCAATTGATGACAAAGTGCCGGTTTATTTCTCTCGGATTGGTACGACAAGGGTCTTAACATATTGCCCCGGTGGAGGCCCCAAGTTGTGAGAACTTCCCAAGCAAAGCTGGGGGCGGCACATCAAACCCTTGTAGCTCTGCAAAGCTCTCCTGGCGGCTGTCCAGAGCAGACAGGCTGGCTTCTACTATTGCCCCCCACAACTACTTGGCATCATAACCATCAAGAGCAACACCATCACTGAAGTACCGTTACTCATACTGGCCACGAGGCGAGAAACCCCCAATTTCATGCTTTGAAAAGAAACTGCCAACACAATCCTCAGCCAGACCATGCAACTGAAGAAGTGCCCGGGACCTTGGCGGTGGGCATCCAAACAGGCTTTCATATGTTTACGTCTTCCATGTCAGCACGCTCCAGCTGGGTGGAAAATGGCGAATGTCACTGTGCCCTGCTGAGTCAACGAGCTTGCCAACGAACATTTTTGACTTCTGAATGGGTGCACGGACCAGATCCAGGCGTCTTCTTCCAAGAAGCGAACTTGTTGGCAGCGGCCCTGCGCTGTAGCACAAATGGCTGACATGAAAAGACCACACGTGGAGTACATCACGGTAACAGGCCCATGACCCACCCCCATGATAGCGCTGCAAGAATTGCATGGCCTCGAGCCAGCAGTTGCTGCCTCAGGCGCAAGAGGCATTCACGAGAATTGGCGAGAATAAGAATTATCCAGGTCATTCAAGGTCCACACGCAAAGCTGCCGCAAAAAACGGAGAGGCATCGCACAAGATTTTCCCATCGCACAGGAACTCCCAGACCTGAGTCTGTTTGTGAAAGACATTCAAATACCAGATTCTGGGCTCCTGCCTGCATGCTTCCCAAGGAGATGCTGACGTGCTCTTGCGCAGAAAGGGCTGGGCAGAATGATCGTCGCCTGAGAAGGCTGCCCTGCCACTTTGTGATGGCGCCAGCAGCCGAACGTCAGCGACCTTAGGAGTTGTGATGAGCTGGCTTTTGAGGCGAACGAACTTTTTTGCGCAGAAGTTCCTCTTTCAGTCTGGAATCTGACCTGCGATGCGGTCTATGGCTGGGCATTGCACTGTGGGAGAAGAGAAGCAGACGACGCTAATGTCCTGCACGGCTTCATCACCCGAATCAGTCCAGCTCAAGAAGCCCTAGCCATGTTGCTGGCCTGAAGACAAAGCGGGGGTGCAGCCACCTGCAAAACATGACTTGACTTCTGCCATGAACTCTATGCCACAAAAACCATCTTAGCCAGGCGCTGGTCCCCGAAGCTCGCGCAGAGGAGTGTCGTGCAACTCTGCTAGAACACGCCTGGAAACATACTGGTGATTCCAAGGATTGCAGGGCTTGAGAAGTCTTCGTTGCCATCTACACATCTACAGGATCTACAGGGGCCTGCGGCCTGCTGTCGCAGACCAAGGCCAAATCCAACTTCCGCTTTTACGGACTTCAGCAACGTGCCTCCAGGCTGGCAGGTCACCTCCCGTCGCAGGTGACTGATCTTGAACATACCCAGAGACGGGCTGTGCGTGTCGCTGTCTAGTCCAGTGAGCTACTGATGGGTGTCGGCCTGTTGGAGGCTGGTAGGGGCGCATGCGGCTTCGCAAGAGCAGTCGAGAAACTTCCAAAAGCCATTGCAGTAGTCATGAGCAGTCGGGATATTGGACCTGCTTTCGTGTCGGTGTATATAACTGTCAAGTCATGGAATCTGTTGGAAACCAAAGGCACCCCGAAGCCTGGTCGCAGCCACAGCCCTTCGCCAGGCAGTGCATCCCAGAACTCCTGAAGCTATAGTGTGTATATGGTAGTTTCCCTAAATTACTGTTCCCAAAATGGGGGAAATTTATATAGGGCCCCGTATTATAATGGGAACCCAAATATAGGACCCCCGTATTATAGGGAATTTAGGACAATCCCCATGTATAAACAGTGTAAACCTAACCCTAAACCCCCTAAACCCTGAACCCTAAATAGTAGTTTCCATTTTCTTTTCCACTATCCCAATATAACCCAGGACAATCCCCATATAGTAGTTTC